GGATTACAGGCACGCGCCACCATGCCCAGCTGATTTTTTGCATTTTTAGTAGAGACGGGGTTTCACCATGTTGACCAGGATGGTCTCGATCTCTTGACCTCGTGATCCACCTGCCTCGGCCTCCCACAGTGCTGGGATTACAGGCTTGAGCCACTGCGCCCGGCCTTTTTGACAGAGTCTTGGTCTGTCGCCCAGACTGGCGTGCACTGGTGTGATCTTGGCTCACTGCAACCTCCACCTCCTGGATTCAAGTGATTCTTCTGCCTCAGCCTCCTAAGTAGCTGTGATTACAAGTGCATGACACCACGCCCGGCTAATACTTTTTTTGTATTTTTAGTAGAGACAGGGTTTCACCATGTTGGCCAGGATGGTCTCGATCTCCTGACCTCATGATCCACTTGCCTCACCCTCCCAAAGTGCTGGGATTACAGTCATGAGCCACTGGGCCTGGCCTAACCTTTTGATTTTATTTTATTTTTTTGTACAGGTCTTGCTATTTGGCTAGGTCTAGTCTCAAACTCTTGACCTCAAGCAATTTTTCTGCCTGGGCCTCCCAAAGTGCTGGGAGTGTAGGTGTGAGGCACCGTACATGGCTCAAGTTCTTTCTTTCTTTCTTTTCTGTTTTGAGACAGAGTGGGGCCTTTTTGCCCAGGCTGGAGTGCAGTGGCACATTCTCGGCTCACTGCAACCTCCCCCTCCTGGGTTCAAGTGATTCCCCTGCCTCAGCCTCCCGAGTAGCTGGGACTAGAGGCACCCACCACTGTGCCCAGCTAATTTTTGTGTTTTTAGTCGAGATGGAATTTCACCATGTTGGCCAGGCTGGTCTTAAACGCCTGACCTCAAAGTGATCCTCCCACCTCGGCCTCTTATGCTTGGATTACAGGGTGAGCCACGCCCGGACCGCTTCTGTCTTTTAAGGGAGTTGTTATTCTGTTGTGATAAGGCCTGATGGTTGAAGTACAAATACAGCCTCATACAGATCTGTTGTTGGAAAAGGAAGGCGTATTTAACAGTTTTTCAGATAACGGTGGGTGTTCTTCTTTGATGCCACAGCAAAACTCAGCAAATGGTAGTTTCGTGGAGTGGAGTCTGAGATCGTTACCAGTGAACCTCACGGTTGCAGAGGCAGAGAGGTCCGTGAACGGGTCCCGCAGAGTGGCGTCCAGTGCTGCTCTCTCCTCACGTTGTGGACAGAGAACCCGAGGGAGCCCTCTGGTGTTTTTCGTAAAAGGTTACTAATCCTGCTGGATCAGGGCCCCACCCTCATGGCCTCACTGGACCTTAGTCACTTCTGTAAACGCCTCGTCTCCAGACACAGTCACGTTGGGGTTAGGGTTGACTGTAACAGTTAATGTCACCTCCGGCCTCATCACAAGTTTTGTAAATGTTGGAAATTTGGCAAGTTCATGTTGTGAAACCCAAGTCTGTCAAAGTCTTGAGTTCTACGGTTGCAGCAGTTAAGTCAGCTGTTTCCTCTGAAGTAACAGCCCCCCTTGCCTGCCTGCGAGGCTCCTGTCTGAGTGGCTGTAGTCAGCCAGCACTCTTGAGGTGAAAGGACGGAAGGGCCCCCTCGCCTCACCACCCATTCCACGCGTGCTTCCTTGAAGGAGCCGCCTCGGGAAGGGCCCCTGCGCCTCACCACCCATTCCACGCGTGCTTCCTTGAAGGAGCCCCTCACCCTGGTAGGCAGCAGCCGCTCTGCTTCCCATGCCCTCAAACAGAACATGGAGGCGTCTGCTCAGGATGCGACTTCACAGAATGTGCCCACCATCTTCTGAAGTGAAGCTGGGGAGATTGCTTTTGGTCTGTGAGGGATGGGCAGTGGTGCCCTGGCTGCGGCTTCCATGGGCGCTGGGCTGTTGCCGGCTGCCAGTGCAGCACCATCAGTGCGAGTGTCAGTGAGGCCCAGCACAGAAACCACGGCTTTGTGCTCTTCAGACGGGGCTTCACCCGGGGCACCCAGGGGCCTTGGGACCACCGTGTCAGCCCTCCCACCTGCATGCTCCTGGCCGTCATGGGCATACAGAATGTGTTCTGTCTGTCGGGTCCTGTGAGAACTAAAGGGGGACTTGGTATGGATGTTCCACCTGGGGAAGGGCTGGGAATGGGCCGGGAGGTTCTTTGTGGACTTGAAGCCCCAGGAGGAATCTGGGCAAGAGCTGGGGTGGAGGGGAGGCCAGTGCTGACATCCTGAGAGAATGTGAGGGAGGGTTCAGGAAGGTGGACGCTGAGAGTGACCCCGGGGGCTGGTGGAGTCTGAGCAAGCTGTAACCTCAGTGGTGTAGAGGCTCACATGAGGGAGGCGTGGGGATTTGAACGCAGCGCTGGAGAGGATGATGTCTCTTCCTTCCTGGGAGTTACGTGCCCTGTTTCTACTTCCTGGCAGGCTGCATGAGCTCAGCATCCAGCTGTGTGTTCATCACGGCGCTCTTGTTCCCGTTCGTGATGGCGATTTCTCTGGTTACTCATTTTGACCCAGTGTGAATCGACAGCTTCTCCATTATATTTATGAAGCATCCATCTGTTTGTGTACTTTTCTTCTTCTTTGTTAATGTTTTATTGTGAGACAGAGTCTCGCTGTGCCGCCCAGGCTGGAGTGCAGTGGTGAGGTCTCAGCTCACTGCAACCTCTGCCTCCTGGGTTCAAGTGATTCTCCTGCCTTGTCCTCCCGAGTAGCTGGGACGACAGGAGGCACGCAGCTTATTTTTAGTGGAGACGGCCTTTTGCCATGTTGCCCAGGCTGGTCTTGAACTCCTGGCCTCAAGTGATCCGCACTCCTTGGCCTTCCAAAATGCTGGGGTTACAGGTGTGAGCCCCTGTGTCTGGCCTGTTGATGTAGTTTCCTGAGGGTTTTTTTTTTTTTTTTTAAATCAGGAATAAATGTCAGATTTTACCAAATGGTTTTCAGGTTACTTTTTTCCCCTTTGATAAGCTGATGTTGAGTTAAAATAGTAGATTGCCAGGTGTTGCACCATCCTTATATTCCTGTCATTCACCCTGTGCGAGGTGGCACTGTGGGCAGGGTGGTGCCCTCTTCCCCGGCCGGTGACCCCTGTGTTCCAGTGTCTCTCTGAGGGATTGTGAAGGAGCTCTCGGATGAGGGCCTGGGCCTGAGGTCTGCATGGGGAGTGCTGCGTGTGGGGAGCTGCTGTGGGTGTGTCAGAGTAGCCCTGGTTGTGGCCAACAAGGCTCAGGTAAGGGAGAGGGGACAGGAGCACCCTGAGTAGTCCCTCTTGATGGGGCCCTGTTTCCCTCCCTAACTCAGAGCAGCGACATGCCCTTCGATGAGCTGCTTGCACTCTATGGCTACGAGGCCTCAGACCCCATCTCAGAGCAGGGGAGTGAGGGTGGCGATGTGGCTCCCAACCTCCTGGACATGACCCTGGACAAGGTGAGTGAGTGCCCTTCCTGGAACTGGCCCCAGCAGAGGTGCGGGGACCGGGGCTGCCTCTCAGCAGGGGGCGTTCAGTGAGAGGAGCACAAAGGCCCCCAGAACAAGTCAAATGTGGCCACCTGTACCACTCTGCCAGGGTTGGAATGGCCGTAGGCATGAGGCTGGACCCTGGCCTTAACCCCAGGCCATGTGTCCTTCTGGCGTGGACGGGTGGAGGGCCAATCAGGGCCTGTCCTGGAGAAGTGCACCTGGGAAGGCAGAGGAACCATGACCTGGCCAGGACTGGGCTCTCTGACATTAGGTACCCAGAGGTCACCACTCGAGGGCTGGGCGTTTGGAGCACGGGAAGGCTGCACTGCAGAAGGTTAACACCAAATGCATGACTGAGAAAGAGCCACGTGCTCTGGGCGGTGCCCAGTGGTGGCTCTGACTGTTCCCAGCTCTGGTGGCTGGGTGTGAGCTCCCCCGCGCTGTGCACCCTCGGGTGCCTCCAGCTCCTTACCTGTGTAATGGGAATAGCACCCCACGTGTCCAGTTCCACCCCCGCTCCCCCGCCAACACTGTGCACCCCCGGCCACCTCCGGTTCCTTCTCTGCAGAATGGGCGTAGGCCCCACGTGAGCCTCAGGGAGCCCCCAGTGTCTTCGCTGTTGTTATCATTAGTGTTATCCCGAGACTGCTAAACTGTAAAACATTCTTTACTTTTTCGTTAAAAGGAACAAATAGCGAAGGATTTGCTTTCAGGGGAAGAAGAGGAAGAGACGCAGCCATCTGCTGACGACCTCACCCCGTCCGTGACCTCCCACGAGGCCTCCGACCTCTTCCCAAACCGGAGTGGATGTAGGTGACTCTGTTCCAGTCCTCTCCCGAGCCCAGGCCCTGGGCCAGCAGGGGTGATGCTGATGAAGGGTCCTGGGGCTGGTGCGGGCCAAGAACGCATCACAGATGAGGGGGTCTGCCTGGTGGGAAGCTTTGGTAGCCCCGGGGGTGCCTTGTTCTGCCCCATCCTGGCCAGTGAGCAGGGACTCTCGGAGTGATTCAGTTTAAACAAGCGGGAATGTGTTGGTTCCCGTAGCAGATCTAGAGATGGCATCCCCATGGCCGTCCTCCCCCACAAGCCTGTGCGCTGGCTTTCCTGGGAGCTGAGGGCTGGGGCCCAGCGGTGCAGCAGCCACGTGGAGGGGAAGGGAAGGACTCTTTCTTCAGAGTGCACCCCGTGTCCTGGGTTCTGTGCCCATCCACGTCCCGGTGTCTGGCCAGGGAGGGGGTCACAGCCTGGGGATCAGGTGGATGGAGAGTGGGAGTGGAGGGTCTTTGCCCGCAGAAGGGGCCGTGCAGGCTGCCGGCAGTGGAGACCCTGGGGGACCTGCCTCCGTTTTCCCAAAGCTCGTTTCCTGGCTGATGAAGTCAAAGAGCCTGGCTCTTCTGCCTCCTCCGACACTGAGGGGGACTCCCTCCCTGCCAACAAATGTAAGAAGGTACGTGGCTCTGCTTCTCCCAAACCTCGTATCGACCACAGTCACCACAGCGGGGTCCTGCGGAGCCCTCTCCCTGGGCATGTGCCCCTTCTCAGAGGAGGGATGTGCTGCTCAACCCCGGGGTGGGCCGGGACTGGAGCCCTGGGTCCTGCTACTGACCGAGTGTTTCTCCTCTGACATCCTGTCTGGGCCTGCCAGGCCAGTGTCAGGGCACTGCCTCCCCTCCCCAGGCCTCTGCCTCCCATCCTCAGACCCCAGAACTCGCATCAGCAGGTCGATTGCACACGTGGGCCTGGGGTCTGAATGGCGGCACCTCCGCCCGAGCCGGCCACAGGACGTGGCAGCCAGCCTCCCTCCTGTGCCGGACGCTTCCTCGGTGTCCTGATTCCAGGCCGTTGTTTGCAGATCATGGTGGGACCTCAGTTCCAAGCTGACCTCAGCAGCCTGCACTTGAACTGGCACTGTAAGAAGAGTAAGTGGGGCCCGGGGTGGGAAACTCACTTCTGCAGGGGAGTAGCCCAGTTGGACGGCAGATTGTTGGGCAGTCTGAGGGGCCCAGCCTGGTCAGGTGCCCACCCTTTGTGGCTTGCTGGGCAGCCGAGCCTGTGGCTGCAGGAAGTGGAGACTCTCTTGACTGCGGTGGGCCTGTCGATGCCGGGCCCTGCCCACTCTGCCCAGCTCTGTCCGTCTCTTGGGGTCTGCTCCTGTCAACCGGCGCAGTCAGACCCTCAGCAGTCCATCCTGCCCCGCCCTTGACTCCAGCCACCTCCCCCCAGCCAGGGCTGCTGCCTTCGCCAGCTCTCTGCCCCGAGGTGCCTCCTCAGGAGCCCCAGGTCAGACGGGCTCTCTGGAGAGAACTGCTGGGTGTCGTGCGGCTTCCCCTGCCTGGCTCCCCGCCTCTGCAGGGCACTCCCTGTCCTGGACCCGATCTTCGTCTTTTTCCCACTGGAGTTCAGAGCCAGGCCGCTCTGGCCCCTTCCAGGCATGGACTCACGTGCTCACTGACTTGGGTCTTGTCTTTCCCTGGAGCCCTTGGAGGCCCTGGGCCAGTGCTCCCAGCTCAGGAGCCTTCTCCAAGGTGATTCCATGGCTGGGATGGACGCGTGTGAGAGGAGGACAGAGGCAGGCAGGTGCAGCCAAGCTGGGACACCCAGAAGGCGGGGTCAGAGGGGACACGGGACCCTCACGCAGAAAAGGCACCTGCAGTCACACTCTGGGTGGAGCCCTGGCCTCGGAGCCTGTCGTCAGGGCCCTTTCCCAACCCTGACTCACCCCATGAGGGTGCCCTGTCCTCGGCAGCCAGCACCACTTCAGCCATGGGATGCCGCTGGCTGCTCCCACGCCGTGTGACGTCTGTGCCGTGGGAGTCGTCTGCGTGCTTGTGTCTCGCGTATTGTGCTGTGGTGCTTGGTTTGGGTGCCACATTTGCCCACCCCTCCTGCTGTGGGCTGCTGTCATGGTTGGGTCCATTTGCCAGCCGTGGATGTGCTTGTGCCGGTTCGTGGATAGAGCGCTCAGTTCTTGATGGATAGCAGGCGTGTGCTGGGGTCACGTGTGCTGCCCGCGTTTCTCACTCATGGTTTGTGGGAGTCGCTCACATTCTCGGCGTTTGACCCCGAGGGTGTACTTGCCTGAGTTGAGATGGACTCTTGTCGCCTCGTGTCTTTCATTGGCATTTCCCTGGAGAGTGTGCTCGCCATTTGGATATTCTCTTTGTGCGTGCCCAAAGCTTTCCCCGTTTCTGACTTGGGTGGTCTTTCTCTCTGATTTGTGGAGTGACTTACGCGTCCTGGAAGCGAGTCCTCTGTGGGCTTTGCGCACTGCTGCTGTCTGCTCCAGTGTGTGGCTTTCCCGTTGACTCTCTTGGTGGTGTCTTCAGTAAAGTCCAGCTTACCAATCTTATTTTAAAGGTAACGTGTTTGTGTCCTATTTAAGTCTTTGCTTACCTTCAGGCTCTTGAAGGTACTCTTCCACGTCTCATTCTAGAAGGTTTATTGTTTCCCTTTCACATTTAAGGCCGTGATCCAACTTAATTTAAATTTTGGTATATGGTGGCCAGGGCTGGGGCTCACCCTGTAATCCCAGCGTTTTGGGAGGCCAAGGCGGGTGGATCACTTGAGGTCGGGAGTTTGAGACCAGCCTGTCCAACATGGTGACCCCCTGTTTCTACTATAAATACAAAAATTAGCCAGGCATGATGGTGCTCGCCAGTAGTCCCAGATACATGGGAGGCTGAGACAGGAGAATCGCTTGAACTACAAGGCGGAGGTTGCAATGAGCTGAGATTGCGCCACTGCATTCCAGCCTGGGCCACAGAGCAAGACTCCATCTCAGAAAAATAAAAAATAAATGAATTTTGGTGTATGGTGTTAGATGGTATGAAGCGTGGGTTAGGGAACTGTTTTCCCATACGGATATGCAGTTGCTGCAGCACCACACATTGAAAAGACCGTGGCCAGGCGCGGTGGCTCTGTCTCCAAAAGAAAAAAAAAAGTCCATTCTCTCCCCCACTGAGTTGCAGCGATGCCTTTGTGATAAATCAGGTGTCTGTAAATTGTCTCCCTTCTCTCATCCTGAGTCACGCCACACTGTTGCAATTCTTACATGTTTTTTTTTTTTTTTGACGGAGTTTCACTCATGTTACCCAGGCTGGAGTGCAATGGCGTGATCTTGGCTCACCGAAACCTCCGCCTCCTGGGTTCAGGCAATTCTCCTGCCTCAGCCTCCTGAGTAGCTGGGATTACAGGCACGCACCACCATGCCCAGCTAATTTTTTGTACTTTTAGTAGAGACGGGGTTTCATCATGTTGACCAGGATGGTCTCGATCTCTTGACCTCGTGATCCACCCGCCTCGGCCTCCCAAAGTACTGGGATTACAGGCTTGAGCCACCACGCCCGGCCAATTCTTACATGTTACACCTCAGTCCGAGGTGGTGCAAGTCTTCCAGCTTTGTAAGTTTTCATTGCATGTATATAAGTTTAAGAGTAAACTTGGGGACAGAAGTACATGATGAGGAAAGACGTTCCTTCTTTGCTGCGTTACTGCGAGAATGAAGACCATTCTCAGCAATCAGACTGTCAACATTCCAGAAAATGTCGACATGACTCTGAAGGGACGCACAGTTCTGGTGAAGGGCCCCAGAGGAACCCTGCGGAGGGACTTCAATCACATCAATGTAGAACTCAGCCTTCTTGGAAAGATAAAAAAGAGGCTCCAGGTTGACAAATGGTGGGGTAACCGAAAGGAACTGGCTACAGTTCGTACTGTTTGTAGTCATGTGCAGAACATGAGCAAGGGCGTTACGCTGGGCTTCCGTTACAAGATGAGGTCTGTGTCTGCTCACTTCCCCATGAACGTCGTTATCCAGGAGAATGGGTCTCTTGTTGAAATCCGAAATTACTTGGGTGAAAAATACATCCGCAGGGCTCGAATGAGACCACGTGTTGCCTGCTCAGTATCTCAAGCCCAGAAAGATGAATTAATCCTTGAAGGAAATGACATTGAGCTTGTTTCAAATTCAGCGGCTTTGATTCAGCAAGCTACAACAGTTAAAAGCAAGGATATCCGGAAATTTTTGGATGTATCTATGTCTCTGAAAAAGGAACTGTTCAGCAGACTGATGAGTAAGACCTTAGAGTTGTCCAGCTACAGAAACAAAATGCCTATCATAGCTAAGACCTACTTGTGATACTTAAATGATGCAATAAAAGACCTATTAATTTGGAAAAAAAAAAGAGTAAAATTATTTTTTCGGCAACTGACAGGTTTTTTTTTTTTTAAATTATTTATTTATTTTAGAGACAGAATTTCCCTCTTGTTGCCCAGGCTGGAGTGCAATGGCGCAATCTCAGCTCACCGCGACCTGCACCTCCCAGGTTCAAGTGGTTCTCCTGCCTCAGCCTCCTGAATAGCTGGGATTACAGGCATGTGCCACCATGTCCAGCTAATATTTTTTATTTTTAGCAGAGTTGGTGTTTCACCATGTTAGCTAGGCTGGTCTCAAACTTCTGATCTCAAGTGATCCTCCTGCCTCGGCCTCCCAAAGTGCTGGGATTACAGGTGTGAGCCACCACATCCAGCCCTGACAAGTTTTAATCTTAAAACTTAGGTAGCTATACAACTTGTCAGTCACCTCAAAAATATTTGCTAGGGTTTTGATTAGGCTTGCATTGAATCTTTAATTTGGGGAGAATTGATATTCCACTCTGTGGGTTTTTACCTCTCTGGTAAGACCTTTAATCTTAGCAATGTTACGGTTTTCAGTATAGCATCTTTTTTTTGAAATGGAGTCTCCCTTCGTTGCCCAGGCTCGAGTGCAATGGCACGATCCCAGTTCCCTGCAACCTCCGCCCCCCAGGTTCAAGCAGTTCTCCTGCCTCAGCCTCTGGAGTAGCTGGGATGACAGGTGCCCACTACCACGCCCAGCTATTTTTTGTATTTTTAGTAGAGACAGGGTTTCACCATGTTGGCCAGGCTGGTCTCCAACTCCTGACCTCAGGTGATTGACCTGGCTTGGCCTCCCAAAGTGCTGGGATTACAGGCGTCAGCGATCGCGCCCGGCCCCAGCTTACATTGTCCTTCAGACTGGGAAGGTGTTCTGTCTTCTGGCTCGCCCTACCTCCCACGGGAAATCTTTAGGCTTCTCTTGTTTTTTTCTCTGCCAGCTTTGACGACATTTCACTCCTGCTGGTTTTGTGCAGTTGGACGAGGACGTTCTGTGGTGGACACGGACAGTGTGTAGCCTTTGAGGCCAGCCTCTTCCATATTCGTTTCAGGCCCCTCCATATCTTTTTGTGGCTCACGGCTTATTTCTTTCTTTCTTTCTTTTCTTTTTTTGAGATGGAGTCTCCCTCTTGTTGCCCAGGCTGGAGTGCAGCGGCGCGATCTTGGCTCAGCACAACGTCTGCCTCCCGGGTTCAAGCGATTCTCCTGCCTCAGCCTCCCGAGTAGCTGGGACTACAGGCTTGCGCCACCACGTCCGGCTAATTTTTGTACTTTTAAGTAGAGGCAGGGGTTCTCCATGTTGGTCAGGCTGGTCTTGAACTACTGGGGTTACAGGCGTGAGCCAACCCACCAGGCTCCTCCTCCTCTTTTGAAGTAGATTTTTACAGGATACAGAATTCTGAGTGGACAATTTTTTTTCTTTTGGCGTGTTAAAGTTCTATTCACGCCTGC